CAAAGGATTTGTTATCTCAGTAATTGACCAGTGGAAAAAGCCAAGCTTGTGTTCTGGTGTATTCACAGGCCGGGGGGGGGGGGGGTAGAGAAACCATTTTAACTTTCAAAAGTCATTGAATGAACTTCGTAAGTCAAGGGCTACTTGCATAGCAGCAAACCCTCATTCATGAAGAACCTATTATAGATAAGCAGAACAAGTTTGCAGAGCTTGTAACCAAAGAATTATGATCGGCTTGATAGGCCTTATTTTCTAGCCATCTGAGGTTTCACGAACAGATTATCCAACAGCTGGTGAATAAATTAGTATCTGGCTGATGGGTTCAGTTCAGCTGAGTGGCTCCAAGTTGTTCTAACCTGATATCTAAAGTTTTAGGTTCAGGAAGTTCTACCAATGTTCTAATCGCATGTTTTCTGTGACCCTGTGGCAGAATCCACAGTGCCTTAAATCTTTTCTCCAGTGGTGGAATCCTGCCAGTTTAACAACCGGTTTGGTGATCGTGTGCTTGTGCCTGAGGCGTGCTTTGCACATGTGCGTAGTTTTAACAAAACTTAACTTCCACGTTACTTCTGGGGAGTAACACAGCTGAGGCACGGCAATCCGCTCTGCCGCATGAATCAGCTGAGAGGATATAGGTAAGTAAAGTGCAGGGACAGACAGTTGGGCCCAGCTGATCATCAGAGCAAACCGGTTCTCTCCCCAGCTGATCGTCAGAGCTACCGGTTCACCAAAACTGGTCCGAACCGGCTGAATCCCACCCCTGCTTTTCTACCATACACTGAAACTAGCAACTCTCTTGTGAAGAGAGCAGAAAAGGCTGTCATAAGTACAGACCTATGGCAAGTACCTTGCATAAGTAGTAATTTACAATACTTACTGTGTTTATGTAGTCTGGCTGCCGCACTATGCTGAGAAATGGTGACTTTTCAAGGAAACTGCACTGTGCTCCCTGTTTGCCCAAGACTGCAGATGTGTCCTCTCACAGGGTAGTGTCTGGGCTGCTGCTGCTGCTGCTGGGAATGGAGACCAAGTCCTTTCCCTACCTTTTATGAAGATGGGAGGCAGCTGTGTCTCTCTAGGTTGAAACCACTATAGCAGGAGTATAAAACTCACGTCATCACAGCGGAATTATGTGACATATCGTGACTTTTCCCCCCTTCGGTAAACTGGCCGTGGACGTGGCCAGCACGTGATGCAGCCGGCCCGCGGGCCGTGAGCTTGACAACCCTGCATTATAGCATACTGTTTTAGTCACCAAGCTGGCACTACAATGGGCAGGGGAAATGAGGTCCCGCTCCCTCTAGCATTAAAGTCCTGCTCCCTTTAGCTTCATGAAACTGGCTTAGACCTGGTCAGTCTCTGTAGTTGTAAAGGAAACCATGAGCCTTAAGTGAATCTGGCTTCTCCATTGGCATCGCTTGTCAGAATGTCGCAAAAGATGATCCTGAGCCGAATTGGCACAGTGGTTAGAGTGCAGCACTTACAGGCCACTTCAACTGACTGCTAACTGCAGTTTGGCAGTTTGAATCTCACCAGGCTCAAGGTTGACTCATCCTTCCATCCTTCCGAGGTGGGTAAAATGAGGACCCAGATTGTTGGGGTCAATATGCTGACTCTGTAAACCACTTAGAGAGGGCTGTGAAAGCACTGTGAAGCGGTATAATAGTCTAAGTGCTATTGCTGTTGCTATCACATCATCCTGAGACACTACAACTGTCTAAGTATGACTCAGTTGCCAAGCATCTGAATTTTGATTATGTGACCAAATGCTGCAACGGTCATAAGTGTGAAAAATGATCATGTTACTTTTTTCTGTGCCATTGTAACTTGGAATGGCCACTAAATGAACTCTTGTAAGTTGAGGACTACCTGTACTTTTCTAGATGGGATGGGATGGGAAGGGGTGGGGTGGGGGACATGGGATAAAGTTATTCAGACAGTTTAATGTCTGTTAAATTGGCTCTCCTCCGGAGAAATCCTGCAAGCCAATGTTTGCACTTTTTACCTGCATTGTTGCCAGACTCCACGATAAGGAGATGGAGGAGAAGAATGTTGTCTTTAGCTTATTTAAAGCCATTTAAAATCCCATTCTTTGAATTTCGTTCTAAATATAAGGTGATGACACATTCTTGTTGAAATAATAACTTCACCTCATCCTGCAAGTCTGTAAATGATAACCCCAAACGATCTGCAGTCTTGGAATCTCTCAACACATGTTGTTACATGTAGTTGGGAGCATTGCATAAACTCTCTTCACCTCTTAATGCTCCCCATGGCTATCTGGAGGGCTCGCCTTTATCTAGTATGCTCTATGAACCTATAGCCACCATGGTTAGCCTTTGGTTCAAGATGTTAGGCACATCTAGAAAGATTGTTAAATTGATCGTGTGAACACAGTCACTACAACCCATCTCTTATGTAAGTGCTTGACTGAGTTGCATAAACCGTACACAGAGGAGTTGTGACTGTTCTTTCAAGTCAGACTTGATCCCTGGTGACACCTGGACAAGTCTTTGTAATTTTCCTGTCAATATTTCAGAAGTGGTTTACTATCAAGTAAAGAGAGGGAGGGAGGGGGGAGAGAGGGAGGGAGGGGGAGAGAGAGAGAGAGAGAGAGATTGGCCCAAGGTGACCCAGATACCTTTGGGCCTAAGGTGGAACTAGAATTCACAGTCTTCCCGTTTCTAGCCTGGTACCCTAACCACTACACCAAACTGGTGCTCTTGTGCCAGTAGCACAAGTTGTCTCTTAAGGGATGGGGATCACGTTCCAAAGCCAGCTAGACAGAGAATTGGACCGGATGGAGCTGAGTCCCTCTGCATGGTGCTTGAGTTCTTCTGACTGCTGTGTTCTTGTGCTCCTGACAGGTGGTGATGGAGAACATGAAGCGGAAATGCAAGTGTCACGGAACGTCCGGAAGCTGCCAGCTGAAGACATGTTGGCAGGTGACTCCTGATTTCCGGCTGGTGGGTTCAGTGCTCAAGGATCGCTTCCATGTGGCAACGCTGATCCGGCCCCACAACAGGAACACTGGGCAGATGGACGTGGGGCAGGCCCGCCACCGGCGTCGTGGTGGCATCAGTGACCTGATCTACTTTGAGAAATCACCTGACTTCTGTGAGAGGGAACCAAAGTTGGACTCTGTGGGCACCCAAGGGCGTTTGTGCAACAAAACCAGCCCAGGCATGGACAACTGTGAAAGCTTGTGCTGTGGACGAGGACATAATATCCTGCGGCAAACACGCAGCGAGCGATGCAACTGTAAATTCCATTGGTGTTGTTTTGTAGCTTGTGAGGAGTGTCGACTCACAGAGTGGGTCAGTGTCTGTAAATGATAGCTGTGTCCTTATAGATCCAGCAAAAAGTTCCATTGTTTGCCTTTGCAACATTTAAGGATGGAGCCTTGCATTAACACAAGGCAGAGTTTGAGGGAATTGGTGGTACATGCTAATATTTCACATCTCCCATCATTTCCTTTCTGGCCTGATACATGAGCCCTTGATTCCACGAGCTCCTATTGTACAGACTTCAGCATTGGCCTGACATTTCCAAAACACCAAGACCTATATAATATAAGGTAATATAATCTTGCTGGAGACCCTGAGGTTGTCTCTGGCTCAAGTCTATGAGCTGCAGTTCCTCAGATAGCAGCTCTCATTCCCACCCCATCCCCTTTCAGTTTAATGCCCTTTAAATCCAACACCGAGAGCATTTAAGGGGTAAGGGAATACTATCAAATACCTGTTAGCCTAGGCCAAATTTGTTCCATTCCAGTTGAAGTGCCACGAGCACACCTTTGTTGTTTGGGGGAGAACAATGAAATAAAATGCAACGTTCGTTGAAAGAAATGTTTCTAAAACGAGATTGACGAGTTGGGGGTATGCAGCTATCTCTGGAACAAGAGCCACAGGCACTGAGTGCAAATACTGTGGTTGATAACTTATTTTATTATTGTGCAAATAAACACAAATCCAAGACAGTAATGTGCATGTGTATATCTGAAGTAGAACTATGGGGTGATTTGTGAGGAGTTTCCTTCAGATCTTTATGTCATCATTTCTCCTTTGTGCACCTTTGAGATGTTGTCATTGCAGAATGGACTGGACCGAAAGATTCTGTCTTGAAAGAAATCTAGGCCTGTAATCTCTCTCTGGGTTGAGCTCCAGTGGAAGAGCCACAAATATTTGATGAGAATTCAAATGAGCCTTCCCCAGCTGGGATGTTACACTTATGATTCCCACATGCAGAGACTTGTGAGCTGATTGGCGTGTGGAGTTAGTCATGATGTTTGTAAATTGTTTTTCAGGGGAGTAAACACCTTAGTTTAACCTGCTGCAGGAAAAATACTATGAGACTTTAAAATGCCACTAATGTTCTAGATAACAGACCACAATGCCAGATTCATGAAATATTATCTTCACTTACAGACCCACATGGCAAAGATTGTCATCTGTAAAGTCTATGCAGACTAAAATAAGACAATGGCAATTGCGTGGTTCAAAAAAGCTCTTGTTTCTTTATGTATTTTCTATAATAATGCCCTTGGCACTGTGCCTATATACATAGGATTGTGCATTTTGGGACCGAATGCATTTGATGACCGGTCTGGACCCTGAAAATATATGCTAGAATCCTTGGTTTTTAAGGTGCTGCAGAACTCACTGATTTTTCTAACACAATTATCCTGCTGGAAGCCTCTTGTTTTTGTTGCACATTCTGAAGATTATTACTGCAACCCAGGAAGATTTAACGTGTCAGGGTATCTCTAATAATTGCTAGAAGGAGGCTAGGGACTAGGATGTCACTGACAAAAACCTCCTTTTAAAGATAAGCAGGAGGTGAGAAGTCGGGACAACAAGATGGCCATTTATGTTGGAAAAGACCTTCCTTCCATGGATAAGTAAAGCAGTAGCACAGGTTTGCAAGACTGCCATTGAACGAGCATGTTCCTCTCTAGAACTTAGCAATAAAATATTGCGCTGCCAATGTTTTAAAAAGAGTTCTTCTCTCAACTGCTTAGAAAGTGTTCTTATAGAATGGGTGAGTGGGCTTTGGGGTTGATATATAAATGATGAACATGGAGTGGGAAATACGTAACTGTTCTATGCAACGCCAGCTGCCTGCTTTGCTCTTCCTGGGCTAGATGGTGATGAATCACCTGATTGGTATTGTGCACTGTCTGATAAATCCCCACCCTGCCTGTAATGTCAGCCCAGAGGCTATGCAGCAGGAATAGGAGACAGGAAGGAGAGGGAAGAGTGGGCAAGGCTGCATTGGCCTAGCCAGCGGGGGAACTTTCTGCAGCTGCATTTCACAAGGCGTGGAGGCGCTTCAAGGTTGGCAGTGGGTTTGCAGGCAGCCAAGGAATTGGGGGAGAGGGCAGTCATCTTCCCCTGGGAAAGGCAGACTCTGATTCTACTTTGGGGCCTCTGTAAGGGCAAGCCCTTCATTTTAGCTTTAGTACCTTTGGAAGAACAAGAAGATATAATAATACAGCTAGAGCCCAAGCCCAAGTCCCGTTGAAGGCCTTTCTTTCTTCATATGTAGGTAGCAAAACATACGCTCACCCATTCACATAATCAGAATCAGTTGTGAGTGAATATTTTGGCAATATAGTATAGTTTGCTTCTAGCACCACCTGTGATAGCTTGCAATTCTGGCGAAGACTTTAGTTATCACTACTTTTTTTAGACTGGTGGAGATAAGTTGCACCAGTAGGATTTTGACTTGCCAGGCAAACATTAGGTCAGGAAAAGTGAATCTTGAAAATGGAGATTGCCTTCTGCACTGGATGTATTGGATAGAGGAAACCTATATGTATGTACATATGTAACTGAACACATAACCTCCAGGTATGGTGATCTTTTATTTTCCTTGCCTCTAGCCAAGGTAGTTTTGACTGCAGTGTGCCCCCAGGGTTTCTCAATGATATGCAGGATGTCTCTCATTCCAGCAGTATCTCACTTGGATCTCATTTTTAAATGGCCCATAAAGGTGGTTTTATGGAGGTGGTGGAGGAGGAGGCTCTACCAAACGCTCAGTCCCTTTTTAGACATGTCAAAGTTAATAGGGCAGCATTGTTTCAGGATGACAGTGGGGCAGGGGGTGGACCTTGCAAAAATGTGTTGACTGTTGGAATTATATTGCAATTAAAGCTTGATTGGAAGAGAATTTGACTTATTTTCTTCCATCACCATTATTCTATTTTTAGTTATTACATTTATTCTATGATGTGAGAACCAGGAGCAATATTAAGCATTCGATCTGTTAAGCAAAATATTAAATTTAATCTGTGTCCCACTTCTTTAATATATATATATTTGATAACTTGAAATGTTTATATATATATATATATATATATATATATATATATA